TAAACACCTTTTAGCTATTTTTTTTCTTTATTATGGGTTTTATTCTCCGTTTTTTGCGAGTTTCTTTGTTTCAACTCATAAGACCGTGTCATACACTGAATGCTCATAACTGTTTCATATTCCGTACACTATTATAAATACCATTACTATACTTTATTTATTACTTTACTTGTAGTTTTATTAAATAAAGGTACATACATGTGGTTTTATTAAACAGAGTTATGTATGTGTAGTTTTATTAAACAAAGTTATGTATGTGTAGTTTTATTAAACAAAGTTATGTATGTGTAGTTTTATTAAACAAAGTTATGTATGTGTAGTTTTATTAAACAAAGTTATGTATGTGTAGTTTTATTAAATAAAGTTATATCTATGCGAGTATTTTTGTCTAATGGTGTAAAATGTTTTCAAATAAACCAGGATTTATTGATCTAATGCATAATACCTGCAAGAAAGTGCAGCTTAAATGATGTGCATTAAAAAGATAGAATACAAAAAATTCAAGTGAAGGGCATGAAAACTACTGCAAATGTTTTGCGGATCGTGGTTATTATTTTATGAAAATATTTGTACATCTAAACTGGCATATTTTCTTTATGTTACATAGTTCTCTATTGATCTTAAATTCTAGAAGAATCCACCACTAAGATAAGTTTAGATGAATCAGAAAAATTTCTACTAATTCAAGGAAAGCATGTCCATCAATCAGGTACTTGTAAATCTTGATATTAAAAAAAGTAAAAGATGGATTAACGACATACAGAAATGTTTATTACCTCATCAGACACACAAAGGCCACCTCTTTCTCGAACCATCTCAAATGCTTTTTTTAAATAGCCTTTAGTAAACTGCACAGTACCACCAACACCCTGAGAAATACAAACAGCAATACAAACAACATATATAAAGATGGGTATTTGAGCTTTGAAACCAATAATATTACAAAACTTTACTTTTATTTTAGAACCAAACATTCTTCTTATACTGCATCAAAACTGTACATTAGTTAGTGTAAAAAATTTTAAATTGGTCTTTTTTCTGTTTTCAGGAACAAGCATGAGGTTTTGCATATTTGTATGTGTATTTTAATGTTTTTAATTTTTCAGATTTTTAATCTGTTATACTTTAATTTTGAGAATAAAATAAGATATATTTATTCTGTATCATTATTTTAAACCAGAAATATAATATTTATTG